ATCGGCAGTAAGAGACAATGATAATAATAAAAATACATCACATAAAAATCACGTAGCAAAGTAATATCTGTTATTATTCAAATAAAAATCCCATCAAATGTTTTTGCTGCGGCAAATAACGTGATAAAATATCGCATCGTTACGGTTGGGCGGGCGGCGCTGGCTGGGCGGGCGCGCGCCCGAGCGCACTCAATTTCCATCGGCCGCCCGCGCCGTGCGCCGCAGCCTTCACGCGTATTATGCACAGCCTAGCGCATGCCGATAATATCTGCCTGAAATAGATAGGTATACACTTAGTGGAACCCACCGACCGATACAATCTTTATAACGTTGTACCATAGTAAAATAGAAATTATTTTTTTAGAAAAAAAAAAATTGAAATAAAAATTTATTGAATGAAAATGGAAGTGTCGTGATGACCCGGAAGTTTAAGACGCTCGCTTCTCATGCATGAGGGTGCGGGTTCGAAACCTACCAACAGCAAGTACCAATGTGACTTTTTCCGAGTTATATGTACTTTCTAAGATTATTTAGACACCACTGACAAACGGTGAAGGAAAAACATCGTGAGGAAACCTGGACGTATAATTTCTAATTATAAGTTTGAAATTACCAACCCGCATTGAGCAAGCGTGGTGATTAATGCTCAAACCTTCTCCGTGTGAGAAGAGGCTTTGCTCAGCAGTGGGCATTTATAGGCTGTTGATGATGATGATGATGAATGAAAATGGACAAGTAATAGTTGCATTGTTATTACTGTTATAGTCAATATTTATTTGTATTAAAGATTGAAATGTTCTGCATACATCTTACGTGTCATGTTTCAGACAGGTGTCACAGGTCACAGGTCTCATTATCTCATGTCTAACTACGTATCACAAAGATAGGTAATATAATCAATATAGGTCCAGCGAGACACTCCTAGACACTCTGTCACCGCTCACACTGGCTGTAGAGGTGTGAGTAGTACTCACCTTGTGAAGGTTGTCGCCCACTACATTGTGTGTACAATGTACCACGCAACCCACGGTCACAGACGACCTTTATAACTTTTAGGCTTTATCTAGATTAATAGTACCTACACTATCCTTCAACATGTTAAAACATAAAATAAAATAAAGAAATATTGCGGTATAATAACATAATATCGTTATGAAATGTATTTTTTCCTTTAAAATAAATAAACGGGTCCGAGTTCTGTTCCTGTTTCCATCGTGTCGCCACGTGCGCACAGTGAGCGCGCTCCAACAATGCATGGTTCGACTTCCCTTTCAACTAAACATCTGATCAATGGTGACTTATTTCCTTTAAAATAAACAATAGACCATTGGAACAAACAATCGAAGAACAATGTACTTCTTCAAGTAAAACAGAAATAATGTAACAAATGAGTTAACAATATTTTGATATTTTATATTTCAATGAAAAGTTTTTGACTTTGTCAATACTGGTTCACTGACTCACTAACAAAGTTTTTTTAATTAGAAACTAATAACCGAGATACGTAATTCTACGCGCCAGGACGAACTGCACTGATTGCTACGATAAGCTACATTGAGTTGCTACGGCGCGCTACGCCATACTACGCCGTGCTACGGTGAAACAATTGTAGCTAATTACTCGAGTATTGTAATCAGCTGCTTTGTTTGAATGTACGTCGGGTTTAAGGCTGGTGTGTGTAGATTCTCGAATAAGTCTTTGTCGTGTCCATATTTACAAAACAATTTATGTTTACAATAAATAAATAAAACTTTTGTTTACAATTTTTAAAAGAATACGTAAACTTTGAAGTAATAATAATTATATAGTACAGTAAGCTATCGTGAAAATATTTCAGAAACAGCTTTCAATATCAACGAAATTTCTTTAGCAAGTGTTGACTTTTTCAATACAGGCTGCGTTTGATAAATGGTGAAATTCATGAATACAAGATCCCGTTAATGAGCCTTTCATATAAAAGTACACAGTCACGTTTTTTAGTTAGCAAAGTGCGGCATCACTTCGGCTTCGGGTTTCAAGCAATATTACTAACAGCATTTTGTATCTTGTTCTTTTATTTTCGACTTGAAATGAGCTTAAGAGCTTATCGTGGAGGATAAAGGCTTAAAAATGTTGAATTAGTTAGATCATCGTGTTATTGATGTTTCAAACAATTGAATCGCTATAGAATACATCCTCGTTACTTGATTTTTCAATAATTTCTTGTTCGATGGTGAGTGTACAATGAGTCTGTATAACAAGAAGTAGTGGCAGTGTCTCGGCGGCACGTGTCGCACGAGATCACTCAATATAAACAGGTGTGAAGTGTTCAGACACAATTATCTCACAATGTAAACAATTACTAAGCATCGTTGGTAATAGTCGGCCATATTGAATATAGTTGTTCTCTCAGACATGACCCGAGTAGTTCCAAGTTATCCTCAACAAGTGTTCATAAAGCCTCGGTTTCGCAAGATAATTCTTAGAATAGCGAGGGTACAAAGAATAAGGGGCTTTTGTTTGCTCTTAATATTATCGCTAGCACTAATATCTTTGTGCTCTGTGTTTCCGCTCCGTGGCATTCCTGAAAGCTTACGTAATAAGCTGGAAACCTCTTGCTTACGAATGGAGCACCCCGCTGTTATCAGTGCTGGACACCGTGGTATCTGGTTTGAAGATAAATAATTTGTTTTACTCATTGTTTAGATATGTCACGAGGCAAATATGCTGCATTTTATCTACACATTACGTATTTCTTTGAGTCCTCCGTCAACGAAGCAAAGTATTCCATATTTAACATTTTCATAACATTTCTGTTTTATCGATCAACGGTTTTTAGGGCACTAGTATAACTACCTAAGGGTATTGGATTCGATTTTTGGGACAGCAAAGGTATATTTATAAACTTATAATTATTTATGTTGATTGTTTACTTCTGTGTACTAAGTAGTGCGTAATGTAATTTCCTTGGATGATTGCGGTCATAAATAAGATGTTATTACTTTATTGACACGGAACACGTCACGGCCGCGGCAGCAGTGCGTGCGCCCGCGCCGGTCTGCTGATGATGACAGTTGCGTGCGCCACGCAACGCGTTGCTAGCCGGCAGCCAACAGCGTGCTCACGCGCAATGTATTTGTTTGTCAACAGTGACTGCATCCAGCGTTCGTTGTACAAATAAACTTCTTACACTAATACAATAACAATATAATATATTCGTTGATGTTGTCGTTCCAAACAATGAGTAGCTAGAACCAGTAATAGTAACAATTATTTTCCACGTTAGTGCTGACAGTACGATGCACACGGAGTGGCGTTCTGGCCCATTGGGCGGCACGCCTGAGTGCGCGTGCGCGTCACCCACCACGCTCAGCGTACGAGCTGTGGGCTGACATCGATGCGCGTGCATACAAAAATTTATACAATGTACATTATTTGTCATTTACCTCTTAACACATAACTCATAGATCACCTCACGCCGCTTAACACATAGATCTGGTGTCCGATTTCGGGGTGGATAAAGTATTTCATGGTTTGTTTACGTATCGGAAATGAGTAATTAAACTGTCAAACACCAAGCGGTCACCGGTGACCGCAACCTATTGTTCTATAATTGTGTCTATAATGACGATACTCGACGAGTTAAGCAACATGCCACCAGAAATGGTGGAAGTTATGAGTAGTAATAGGTTTACTTCTTTTAACATGGGATTCATAACATATCTGGTAATAAGTGAGCATTACTTACAATGCAAACATCCAGCAACAAATCTCTGCCTACCACTTTTAAATACAAAGGGCGATAAGTTATTGAGAAGAAGAAGAGTAGTACGTTGATGGTAAGTACCTACTTACATAAAGAATACAGGATTAAATAACATTTAATAAAATAATGACGGAATGAATCGGCACGGATGGGCCGGCTCGACCGGAGTGATACCACGGCCGAGCAGAAAACCGACGTGAAGCAACGCTTGCGTTGTGTTTCGTCGTGTGGAGTTCCGGAGGCCCAATTACCCTCCCCTTTCCCAATTTCCCCAATCCCTAAATCCCCAACGATCCTCAAACTCCTCATCCCCAAAATGCTGGTAACGCATTTGTAACGCCTCTGGTGTTCCAGGTGTCCATGGGCGACGCCGATTGCTTACCATCAGGTGATCCGTCATCTCGTTTACCGGTTTATGCCATAAAACAAAAAAAAGGAATGATCGTTATAATCGTGATATTAAAATGCATTTAAATGTGCAATCAATATAAAATTTATTACATTGCGTAATGATCTCCTCCATGCGTTGTGTCTAATTTTCATTTACTACGAACATGATTACAGAACAAAATTCAATTAACTTGACATGTGCATATGTTGTCTAGGATCTGAGTGCTACTTCACAGTCTACTGTGGTTGTGACCGTCTGCACAACTTATAATTTAACTACATAAGTTATAAGAAGGAAGTCATGATTGATTCAAATGAATTTCAACTCTTGAATTTCCTTATTTTGTGGTTATATGCCAGGAATTAGGTTCTGGACGGATTCAGGTAACCAGCTGAATTAATTGTGAACTTTACACCAGTTCTACTCTGCCTTTGTTCTGGAACAACTTAGCGCAAAGTTTTCGTTGGAATAATACATGCAGGTGCTTAACTTTCTTCCTCCTTTCAATTGGCAGGATGTTGGCATACACAATGTTGAGGATCCCAGCAGGTAGTTAGTGCCGGCAACTTTAATTGCTGTAACAAGTTGTTAACTAGCTTTGAATGCATTGCAATTCCAGCCATGTGAACGATAAACCGATTTCATGGTAGTTACGATAAAACATAAAGTAGGCTGCAGCCGCCGCGGGCAACACGAGTAGTACACGCGTTATTGGCAGTGGAGTGCAGTTGTTGGCGGCCCCAAGTGCGCGGCGGTGCTGTGCGAGCGGCGGCGGCGGCCAGCACGCGGCGGCGGCGCGGGCCGGCGTGGCCGTGGCGTGGCGCGGCGGCGGGCGTCGCCGGGCGCGCGTGCCTGCCGCCGCCGCCACCCACACCACTCGCGTCCTAACCCTCGCCGCGGACGGACGGCATGGCGGCCGCGCGCTGAACGCCATTACGAATACGTGTCTGTGCTGTGAAACATAACACGCTCGATCTACCTCCAGTCGCGACCATCGACACCAACATGACCCGGTGAGTACCCTGCTGCTCCTGCGAGGCCGCGAGCCTCACTTTTCTCCATACTTTCCATTTTACCTCGAGCCGGTGTTTTCCCTCCGGAAAATTGTAATAACAGACATCCTCAGAGATTCGTTTTGATTTATTGAATGATCGGTTTTATTTCGCCTGCGGTAGTACAACCAGTGGATGGCCAGTTTAGATGTATCGTTTGTATTGTATTGTATCGACTAAATATTTGTTTTAGTGTCTCAATACAGACGCAATGAGAGGTCACGAAATTTCAATAACAGTCGAAGAGGTGAATCACTGCTTACTTGCTCACTGAGTCACCGCGGTACATTCAGTGCTTACTACTGGAGTAATCCTTTAGGTGCCAGGTGAGCTGATGCAACTACTTTCTATACAAACATAAATATTTTATACACAATTGTGCGCATCGTGTTAATTCGGCTGAACTTATTATTAGGATAGTGCTTTGAATTCTTTTATTTTACGTAGTATATTTTGCACACAGAAATAATGTTGTAATCGAATATATTGATAGAGGAGAGTAGTGCGCACAAGCACAGCGGCGTAGTCAGTGCGGTGTGCCTGCAGCTGCTGGCTCCGGCTGCACAATTACTGTGGTCATCATCACGTCGATCTTCCATCGAAGGCTGTTCGATACCACACTACATACGGAATTTTAATAGGTGACGCAATGACCTCGGATACTTTTATTTTTGCAAAGAATGCAATAACCTGTTGTATCATCGTACAGTCGACGTGAGTCAGGCTGGCTCTCCTTGGAGCTCACGCCGCCGGTGCCGGCCCGGCCCGGAGCTAGCCGCGCGGTTTATAAGACGCGCCGACGCGCGACCATGTTATATACTAGTGCGTTGCACATACATATTGTGTTCTCGGGTCACTTGTTCTTCGATTATAACTAGTTACTCGTATATCTGAATGTAGGTTACGATAGAGGTACGTAGCTGTTAGCATGCACACCGGCCCAGGTACACATCATAATCATACCGACGTCGTTGGCTGGTAACTTGATTTTTCAATTGTATGCAGATGAGACAACGTAGCGATATTACTAGAACTAGTTTGAAAAAAGGAGCGTCATTCACGCGTATTAAATGTCTATATACAGCTTATGCAATTAAAACAGTTGAATTAAAGTAGCAGCGAGTGACATGCGACGAATATTAAAGTTTGAATGCGGATACTTGCGCAACATAATTGTTGGTGCGCCTCGTGAATCGCGAATAATCCATGTTAATAACTGGTGTGCCGTGTATGCTGAGCAGCGCCGGCAGCGGCGGCAGTCGCGCGGGTGTCGCAAGCGGCGGCGCTAGTCGCGCGGCTGCACGCCGGCCCGGCGCCGTGCCGTGCGCTGGGAATCGCAATTAGCAGTTGTGTGCGATCCCCGGCGCATGGCAACAATGCACCGGACACGATGAGAACATGATAACACGAGCTTACATTTCATTTACATACAGCCGAGCTCCTCACTAGCAAGCAGCACGACGCGCGGCGACGCCGGCGCCGGTGGCGTGGCCGCCACTATACTGCACTCGTGCGCAGTTTTGAAATAATGTCAGAAGTGATATAGTTAGCGTATTGCACAGGCCTCTTGCAAATGCAACAACTGCAATCAGTAATTAAAAATCTAGCACAGAGGCAACTTATTAAATAAATACTGTAACTTGTCCGCTTGTTCTACGAGAGACGCGCTTTATAATAGATATACATAGAATGATTTATGTATGTACATAATGCGTATTGAAGTAATTAAAGATATGAAGGCAACATAGAACCTTAAGCGGCATGCGACGTTGATGATCATTGCGCTAAGTAAATATTTACGATGATAAGGCAACCATATTGGTTCAGTGGACATTTGACGTTTCGTGTGGGAGACACGGAGTGTTGGGTCAAAAATGAACTCTGAACTCAGGGTTTAAAATTTAAAATAATAGAAGCCTTAATTTTTAAAAGTACAATTATTCTTTTCTAGAATTTCAAAGAGGTTTATGTATATTGTGGAGAGTGTTGCTATGGAAGGCAGTTTCGCTTCTAGCAATGCGGTACTAGATAACGATGATACCGATGCGTAGAACTAGCTAATGCAAACATTATCCATTTATTCATGGTTTTTGCACTTGAAGAACAATCGGACTTGATATTTCCTGCTCAAAGTTGTAGTTTATTTTGTAGCGAGAGTGCACAATGCGGCAGTGTCCACAAATGCCGGTATCAGTAGCATCACATACCTGTCCGGGACGACCGGCACAGGTATGCGAAATTCAATTAAGTATCTTTTTTTATGTTCCGTCCATGTTGATCCTTTCTCATAGAGATAACGTGACCCGAGATTACGATTACGAAGTTTTAAGATGTGAATAGCAACATTAACATTTGTATTTTATGCAAAAATTCAGTAATACAGTGTAAAGTTGCATCTATAAACGTAATCGTTAGGCAAAGACAGTGGTAGAGCAATCGTAAAGATTTACTAAGTTTATTGTACCGTATTGCATATCACTAGTAGTGTCATTCAAATCTATCTTGTCTATTTATGTAACCCTTTACAAGCGAAACGTGAGCCATGAAAAAATATGTATGTGATGTAACTTTCAGCTAATTAACAAAATGTTGTCACAAGCTGTGAGGAGCTAGTTACTGTTCACTGGAACATAGTGACGTTGACATGTGAAAGTATTCATTAATTAGTGCTACATTGTCATGTCACTGAATCTATTCAAATATTCACTATTATCCTATGATGTTCCAATACATCAAATTAAAAGTATATATGTAGCTAAAAATATTACGTGAAGACTATTGTTCAGTGCTATCTCTCAAGAATAAACAGTTTGTAAGGATTTCTTTGTAATTTTAAACAGTTACTATTCTTTATAATCCTTACGTGTTTAATTATGATCGTATTTACTTAGATAATTGACACGACTTGTCATTTATCACATCGATTTTTATACTTTCACAGCCGTAGTATGCTGTCTGTTGAGAAGGTAGAAAGACATAGTAATATGATATAGAGTAGATAATGGCACAATGTAGATAGTGCACGTTCTATTGAAGATACTGGGTAGGTTCCTCCACTGTAACTGATGAACGTGCGAAGTTTTCAGTTTGCAACTTGAGATAAGTTTTTATATTATTTCTATAGACACGTTTAGTTTATATTGCATCTATATCATTGTTTTTAAAGAAACATCTAACAAGATCAATGAACACTGAGTTATTATAGTTTAATATTAGTTTATGAATGGTAAATAAACTTTAAAGAAACAATGAAAGTAAATAAACGTAATGCATTGTAGTGTTTATTACAAATACGAGTACTAAGAGAGATTTAAAATTGTCATATCTGACTGATCTCTACGAAACAACAATTAGTAAACGTATCGCAGGTTTCAAACGTTTGTCAACATTTATAATAACATCAGCGTGTATTGTAAACGTATGAACAAACAGACAACGATGTATTCATCAAATCTTACTAATCCGCCTTGTTATCTATCTATCGTTACTAGAGAAAGAATTTTGAAATAAGAACTTCGTAAATTTTTAGACTATAGAAAATAGTACGAAGGGATGGTCACGTCCCTCAGCACTAATTGAGAAATACAAAGTTACAAAGAAGAGGACGTTTGTGGTTGTTTATTATGGTTTGAGAGTAGATATAAACAATCCTTACATTTAATGTAGTGGGTTTGTTTGCCAAGTTCTTAGCAATTCGGAATTCCCAGCGTCATAGTAGGAAGCAGACGCTGTCGAGGTCTTCTGACCAGCAGTACAGGCGGTGCCTGGCGGCTGGTGGCTGGGTGGGAGGCAGGCATCGCATCGGTATGCGGCGCCCGGCGCCCGGCACCTGCACGTGTCGCCGCATTCATTACCTTCATTCAGTTTCGTTATTCAAATCGAGTGTGAGTCGAAAGTGGAAACTGTTTTATGAAATGTACCTGTTCGTGTATTGTGGCCGACGATTTGCCGGCTGTCCTGAGTTTCCCAACGATATCTGCCAACATAATATATGTATGTTGTATGTACGTTACAGCATATCACGTTGTGCTAATATGTAAAGTTTAATTAATCGATCAATTTTCAATTTTATTGATTTATAATGGAGTCAAAGTGGTATAGCTTCACATGCTGGTCTGTACTTACCTGCATTAGGTACATACGTAACTTGTTAAGGTCGACCTCGTCGTCAGACTTTCGGCGAAAATAAGATGAGTCTGTATTTAACGACCTTGTTCGATTTCACGAAATGTCATAAAACACAACCTAGACTAAGAAGGACTTTTTGGAAGTAAATAACGACTGAATATGGTTTCTCAGTATGTTATGTAAGCACAATATATGTTTTTTCAAAGAAACTAACAAGTTTTAAGAAGCATCAATAAAATATTGTCCTAAAAATTGCACTAAATTTTAGCATATAATTAGAAAAGTAGAGAGATGTCGAGTGCAGACTCAGACAGACAGCGCGTGCAGTGGCCGATGTTTTGACTAGTTACTCCAAACATATCACTGCTGTAGTCACAGTTGTAGTACTTACTGGCGGACCACTGCTAGCACTTTGGAAACTAATTTCACAATTGTGCTACGTAACGTATTGTGATACGAATACATTCTATTCATTCTCGTGCACGAGTTCTATGTCTTGTAGGGCCTTAATGATGAGTTAGTGTTAGGTCCATCTTGACGGGTTGGTAGATTCTGTCAGGTTACAAAATAGCAGCCGACAGCAGGCAGCAGGCAGCAGGCAGTGGGCAGCAGATGCAGTGACGCAACTGCGGCGCATACACTTTCACTAGCGTGGACAATGGGTCCAGAGTGTTGTTGTGCATAAAATTCCGCGGGTGACAATAGCCGGACGATGTATGCTGCCGGCTGCCACTAATAGTAAACTCGCAGCTATTTACACACCACTCACTAATTGTCTTCACTTCAAGGATACTTTGTAGCTCTCGTTTGGACATCTTCACATATTTGTAGGC